CAATGCAATCTGAAGTGCGTTGGTATATTCTTCAAATTTCAGATATATCATATATGCAATATCCAAAGCTAGCATGTCATCGGGTCCAGGAAGATATCTGTGATGTTAGCAAAGTGAAATATCATAATCAAGGAGATCAATTCAAAAAAATGGAAAATGAAAAACTAACACTACTTTAATGGAAAATTGAGCTCCATCGAGAAAATATTAAATAATACAAGAGTGCATACAAAAAGACAGCCCAACAAAAGGAGTAAAAGAAAACCTAAATTAACTACATCCAAATGAGCTCCAATCTAAAATACCTGAGCATATTGGATTTATAAAAATCCTTGGAGACCAACACCAAAAGGCATTAAACCAAACAACAAACTAAACCTCTCAACCCCTCTATAAAACCTACTTTTACTCTCAAGCCAAAACCCCAAAAACCCAAAAACAAAAAGGTCCCACCACACCTAGAATTACCATTGATTTTTTTTTTTTTTTAAATATCTGTGAGTGTTTAGGCTAGCTTGCACACACCTCGACTATTCTCGTAGAATAACCAACTAACCTTGCTACATTTGGTTGGTAAGGTAATTCGTAGGTAGGTGTGGTCACCATGGCTTGAACTCATTTCCTTTAAGCCGTTTATTATTTACGTGACGTTTTTTTTTTTTTTTATCACTAGGCCAACCCATTGTGATTACTATTAACCTACTCAAACTTGCAAAGTTTCTCATAGGATGTAGCGTATTTATTCATATCATAATATAACCCATCAAACTTCAAATAGTAATGAGGAAAACCATTTCTTTAGAAGAATGGTAAAACAAACATAACTATGGCAAGTGCAGTTGCCCCACAGCCATAAGCAGTCATTCATTTTTCTCTTCCGAACAAATAATAGTCATACTTCAGCTAAAACTTTAAAGTGAAGTTAATCAAGAAAGGAATAGCCCAGACAAGCTTGGAAACAGAACCATCACATCAGCCCATTAACTCCTAAAAAAATAGTAAAATGGAAGGAAGTACAATTATTTGAACTACAAGAGATCAAGAAGATGATCTGACATACTTTGCTGAACTGGTAAGATAGATACAAGTCCTTTTGAAATTTGTACTGTCAACATGCTCTACTAACAGATCAAGATCTTCAACCTGGTATAAGTAAAATGGATAATTAAGTCAGCCATACCCCATTTCCCATTCACCCCCCCCCCCCCCCCCCCCCC